GTGGCCGAGGAGGCGCCGGCCGGCGAGGGGGGCAGGCCTCCCGGGCTCTAGCCCGGCGCCGCTGTGCGCGCCGCCCGCCGGCGCCCAGGGCATCCTGAAGTAGCGGTGGCGCCCGGTCGCTTGCTGCCCTGAGGGCTCCTCCCCCGCCGTTCCCTTCCTCCTTTCCTTCTTCCCCCCCGCCTCCTCTCCCCTCCTGGGTTTTTTGGATCACCTCAAGCATGCAACTTTGAATGCATCTTAAGCTTCGTGCCCTGCCCGCCTGCAGCGCGGCGCTTTTAGCCGGCCGTGCCCAGCGGCTGTAGTTGATGTTGAGAGTGACACAAGCTGGTCCCGTCCCCTGCCTCCCCGTTTCTAGCCCCCCCCGGGCCCCGGAGTCGGAACTGTGTAGTCCGCCTGTGCGGGAGTTCGCGTGTTTTTCCCTTGGTCGCATGTCTGTCTCTGGCAAGGTGTTGCTGGGTGCGTTAGCTTGCACCGCATTTTTAACTTCAGTTGCGTTCGGAAGGCAGGGTTTGTCCGCCCTGGCAGGCGCCAGCAGCTAGCGGCAGCTCCCTTCCTCCCTCCTCCTCCTCCTCCTCCCAGTCCCGCGGTGCACGTTTAAGTGCTTCGCCGTGGCACCTGTACGACGATCAGTTTTCCTTGCGTTCGACTTCTGCTTTCCAGCGCGGCTCCGTGTTCAGTTGACACCAAATGAGCCTGTTACACGGTGTCGTTCTGGTGTGTACAGACCGACAGTCTAGTGTCTAGTGCCTTCGTGCGAGGGCCGCATGTTCAAGTCTTACCAGCATGCAAACAGGAAAGATCCTGGAGCAAGTTGGTCTTGAGTGGGTGCCCCGCTTGGAACCTCCATTGCCGGGACGATCCAAGGTGTTCGCAGACTGGTTGTAGCCAGAGACAAGAAACAAAAAAAAACATTCGTCGTTTGGAAGACAAAGTGAAGGGAGTCCGTCAAGCAAGACAAACCCGTGCCGGTTGGGCTCAATGCGTCGATTTGGCCCAAACCATTGCTTTGCTAAAGGCAGGGGCCCAACATACATTAGTTGCTGCAAGCGCGGTGGCGCACTGCTTGTTCCTTATTGATGCTGTTTGTTGCTGGGTGCTTGTTGCATAGTGTTCGCAGTTCTCTGCTTCCACTGCTTTCGCTGCTCACTGCCGCGATTTGTTGCTCACTCCTGCACCGCTTGCAGACTAATGCTGCCTGCTCACTGTTTATTGCTTGCTGTCTATTGCATCTCGCTTGTCTACTGCTCCTCACCGCCCATGGTATGTATCCATGGCCTACTGATCGCCGTCATTCTCACTACCCGGTCCTATGTGATTTGTCTGGTGCGTGCTGCGAAGATTTGCCCATCACGAGAAGAGCCACACATGCCACCTGCTGTCCAGTTTCTCCGCAGGGCGAGCCTCCCCGAGCAGTGCCCGAATATGTGGGCCCTCATCGCCGTCGTCAAGAGTTGGATGGGGGCTACAGGGTTGCAGTCGCCCGCAGGTCCCCGGCCGTGGGGCCCCCGCCCATACAGCCAAGGCGCTGCAACACGGGCCACTTCGGGTTTATGAGGCGCTCTGGCGTTTGGGCCATTCCTCGGATCAGGGTCGGGGTGTTCTCGGCCAAGGCTCGCTGTGGTCAGAAGAGCCCAAGAGTCCCCTGCGATACCCCAAA